ACACACACACACACAGCCCTGTTGGGTTATTGTCAGGATGGCTTTGGAAACAGAACAGAAAGCAGGCCATTAAACAAAAGCTGAAAAAGTCCCTGCGCAGACAAGCTTTACTTGGTCCAAAGCAGAAGCTGCTGATCTGGTTTGATCAAGAAAAAACTAAAACAACTGATGCTTAGCATTTGTGTTGTTCTTCGTTGGTGGCTAAATGGCATGACAATGATGAGGCACCATCAGTGAGAGAAAAGAATAAAGTATGGTTATTCATAAGAACAGTGAGCAGCTTTATAGCTGCTGCCAGAGCACATAGACCCCCACAGAGTTTCTGAAAGGGACCTCTTAATGCCAGGAATGCCCACCTTTTTTAGTCGAATGTCTCATGTGTTGAGAGGGGTTGAGKTCAGGTAACTGTCATGAATGAAAATAAGGCCCAAATTGGTTTAACCTCCTAAGACCCGAACTCTTGCATGATGCATTTTTAAATTTTCCTTACTATTTGAGCTTATTGGGACTTGATGAGTGTAAAAACAAAGATTTATCTTTTTACATGATGCAGTTTCTGAGAAAAATGCAGTCCACATACTGTATGTGGATATTCGTTTTAAAAATTGACCGAACACAACAAACTCCCAGTCGAGTAATTTTTTATAAAACTCTATATTTTGTGTCTGAACACAGCAGCATTATCCTAAGCATTTACCTAATTTCCCTCTGGGATCAATAAAGTATTTTTGAATTGAATTGAATTTGAATTGAAGTGCAAAAACAAGATGAAAAACAACTATTGTGTCCCTTTGGATAATATGGCTCATTTGAAGTGTTGCTACTGTAATAGGCATCTAAACATTCTAAATATTTTGCTTTTACTGTACTACACTCTTTATTTCATTTGCTGAACATGGCATGAAATGAAACATGAAACATTTCACTTATACTCCAAAACTACTAATTCAAMCTTTTTTTCCCCTAYGGTAATGTGTTTGTTTGGGTTCATATGCTTACACCTATGTGTAAAAGGCCGTGATATGTCTGTATGCAAAGGACCGCCTTGCAACACACTACACTCATGTTTTCCTTGCGCAGCCAATTGCTCCTCAGGGTGCTGCATTTATCAAGTATGATTTGCATTAGCCTTCTTGCAGACTCGGACATGGAGTACTGCCTACCCGGAACATCGGGTTCAACCTGTTTGGACTAAAGTGCCTTGGTCATTTCCCTGCTCCAAAATAGTCAGTTATCATTTTCATGCTGAGCCAAAATGGTCATGGCTATCACGAGTCAAGGCGGAGTGAGTGGACCAGCAATATAACCACAAGCAGTCAGATTCAAAATAAATAAACAGTGCTTTATTTTACAGGTGCGGGGAAGAAAGGGGTGCGGGTCCGGATCTGAGGAGAGGAGGAGGAACAGGTGAGTATCCAGGTCTTGAGTTAACAGAGATGCAGTATCTTTAAATGAATGTAAATAGTCTTACTTTCAGTGACAGGTCAAAGTTGCTTGGGTCCTGATGGAGCAGAACGTGCTGGGGTGAACACAACAGGTGAGTCTTTACAAGTGCGGGCATTGGAGGCAGAGAGGCAGGTG